TTGAGTTTTGGTTTCGTTTTGAATTGAGTTGAAAATACGATTAAAATGCAAATCAATAAAAACTTATAACAAAAATAGTATTGCGATTGAAATGAATGTCATTTTGTGTGCAAATTATATGCAAATCGTTGACAAACAGAGACTGTCTTAATATAGTGTACAAAAGACTCACCGATTAATTGTGACAATCAATGCGTTTAATGTGTTTGTCATTCAATACTTAATTGCAATCATTTATACAATCATACAATCCATCCAAACATTAAAACATTACAAACATTACAAACATTACAATCCCTTTAAAAACACCAAATATTGTAAACACAATGAATTGAAGTGCAAAACACAGACCAAAGCATTCATCGATTACGTCCACTATTTCCGCATTTTCTCTATACTTAACCAATTAATGAGATTTAAGTTACAATTCAATCATCTATTGGTTTGATTTTACTAAATGTTTTATTAATAATGAGTTTAATTGAGTTTAAGTTAGTTTAGCGTTAATTAAATTATATTGCAATACATTTATAGTCGTTATGTATGAATGCTGTCCAACAGCTGACAACACTATGTAAACGTCATGGACTGCACATCCAATCACTTTACACTTTCATGCATTCATATGATTACTACAATTACACTCATCTCTCGTTATAATTACATGTTTAATATTAATTAAATGTTTGTAAAATCATTACATTTATCACTTAAATATGAGTCGAAATTAGTTTACATTTATTTTGAATAATAATTATTTTAAAATAAAGTTTCATTTATAATCACAACACGTTTTGATTAAAATGACTAATTTAAGGGACATATAGTGTATGTAAATCACAGGCAATGCCTTTACTTTTGAATCCTTTATTTTTACCATTTCTTTCATTTCTCTCTTAACTCTCTTTCCTTTCGTTTCATTTCAAACCTAAACCCAAACTCAGACCTAAACTCAACCCAAACCCAAACCAATGCCCGCTTTAACCTAATCTATACTCTACCTAAACCTCTTGAACACCAGATCTTTGATCTTATTTGATCTGCCATTTGATGGTAGAGATGATGACAAACCCATGATTGAGAAGATATTCAATGATTTGTATGGATGTCGAGAAGTGATGACTTGAATAGATATCTGATCGCAGTTTGCATTCAACTAATCGATTAATCATTGATTTAATGAATGCATTGATTTGCTGATTGAAGCGATGGCTGATCTCTGTCTTCATACAAATGATTGAATATTTGGCTAAATTTGATAATTAAATGCATTGTTTGCCATAAATACACACTTTATGTATATTTAATACAAATGACATTTTGATTATGCATTTAATTATATCGTAGAAAATTGTATACAATTAAAAGTGCCTAAAATATAAGAAAATAAATATACTTTAATTGTCATGTTTGTTAACTTTTAGAACCATGCATTTGCTATTACGTTATTAATAAAACTATCAAGTTACTAATTTAATCATGATACAATCAGTGATTGTTAATCACTGAGTTGACCAGAACTGTCTATTCATTACAATTGTACAGAGTATGGATAAAATTGAGCATGTTGATTACGGGCTCATGTGCGGTAAAACGGTTACTGTAAGGTGAATATTGTATTAATAATGCTATTTCAATGGATAGCGCTTTACATTAGAGATATGGAGCCGAACCTAACCTCTAACTTGCTTTCAGAGCTTGTATTGTGTGCTGTTTTGCACACAATGTATACCATAGAAAAAAATCTCATTTGTTTAGTATTACAAACAATGTCTTTGAGAAGAGTAAAGGATCGCTAAAACTATATATAATTTGGTTGTAATTGAATTAATTGTGAATATAATTAACGTTTTGTAGCCATAAATACATTTTGGTATTGAATGAGAGCTGAGATGATTGGTTGATATGAAGTGACGTTTAGTGGTTAGTGAGTGAAAAATGAAGAATGGGTGCATGTGCGCATGCTACATTAATCGCTTTATTTTAATACTAGCCAGTTAAGTTACTTCGAAAACTCAAACCTCGCGTTCAATTGATTTTGTAAGTAATTGAATATTAATTACAATTAATGGTTATAAGGGGTGAAAGTGTGGATCGGAGTGGTGTCCGGTTGTGTGCACACAGTTTGCCGATTCTCTAAACTAGTTTTCAACGCTAACACCGTTTGGTATGTATTGTGTGCTATTGTACAGTATTGAAGTACACATACATTGCATACACTATATATCGGTGTATTGAAGAGAAGCCAATCTCACACACAATTGCCTCAACAAATCATCCCTTTCTCCCCCTCTCTCACTCTCGCACACTCTCTCTCGCTCTCCCTCTCTCTCTCCCTCTTTCATCAACTCTTCATTCGTTTCATTGATTTCTTCGCTAAATATCATAACTTTTTTCTCCTTAAAGGAAAACTCTTATCAATCGATAAACTCAGACACTATAGTACTGGAAGTGATATCATAGAAGAGTTGATCACAATTTGTGATGTCTATAGCGCCTGAATGTGGTTCAGACATAAGTAATGCAACTTTGGTTAATGTAACTGATATGACATCAATAGATCCAGTGGTGACTCTGACCGGTGCCGACAAAAGCGGTGTCAAATCGGGCGCAGATGTGGTCAGTGCTGTTCCCCACGCTATCAATGATATTCCAAAGCAAAGCAATACATTGAATACATGCAAAAGCAATAGCACTGAAATACGGCCCAACATGACTACCATTACCAGTAATAACCGTATGATTGCCCCCAAACCTATCGCAACCACTTCTTCCATTCCCATCAGACCCGAGACCATCGCCGGTAAAACACTATATAACTTATTGTTAGACAAAGTACTCAAAAAGATTGAATTGTATTTTGGCTCAAACTTAGATAAAACCCAAACTGTAATCATAACCACTTCCGCGGACTCTTCGGTCAATTCAACCATATCTGGCGCTAAATATGGCATAAATAAAATGATTCCCGTAAGTGATTGACTCAATCATCACAATGTCGTCAACTCATAGATTATTTGATTGGCAGATAAATAGTCACATAGCGTTAGTTACCTCTCCAGACGGCACATCCATGTTAGCGGTTCCCATGTCTTCATTGGTGGCAAAGGGAAACGTCAACATCAAGTCATCCGTAACCCCGGTTTCTATCAGTTCTGCGGCTTTGAAGTCCAAACCTCCGATTATTACGCCCTTAAAGATACTTCCGTTGATGGCGTCGACCACTTCTTCGGCAGCGATTTCGGTGCCGTCGATATCCCACTCCAAGAATGTCCAGACACTGATAGCGCCCGCATCGGTGGCCATCAATAAAGGACTCACTAACCAATCGTTCACATCCACTAACACTGGTCTCACATTAATCCCGACCACTATTTCCAAAATTGTCTCTTCGGGTGAACTACTTTCAGAAAGCACTGTCCCATCCGTTGTCGCAAACACTTCCAGTCACACAAACAAAGGTAAAAATGTTTAGTTATTTAATTCAAATAATGTCTTCAATGAATTAACATAAGGTTATACTAAACTAGTCCTCTATTACCTGTAAAATACTGTTCCCATTATTTTATGCCATTTCATCAGATCTTAACAATTAATTGTATTGATTGTGTCATACATTTCAATGCAGTCATTACTTCTATGTGTTATTCATCTTCTCGTTTGAGTCACTTGTGTTCAATAAAAGAGTTTAATATTTATGGGTTTACAAGGATTTGAGTTAAGGACCACTTTATAGGTTTCAAAATCACTTCCTCTCAAAGCTTCTAAATAACAAAAATTCAAAACAGCTTTTCGTTAATAAAACGTTTTTATTGAGAATTGTTTTCAAATTGTGTTTAAATATTACAGTTATTTATAAATTAATTATATGTTTGATAGAAGAGACAGCTGTTAAAACCGAAGACAAATCCCAGTCACCACTTCCTCCTCCACTTTTGGCTCAAAACAGTACTTTTGTAACAAATGCAGTGACAAACTCGCAAACACTAACGCCTCCGGCCTTAACATCGNAGTGGTGGAAGTAGTGGTGGAAGTTATAGCAGAGGTAATGGTTGAGGTGATAGGCAATGCATCCATGATTTGTCCATTAATCATATCCAAGTGTCCAAATTCGTCGACTCGGAATTTGAGATCACTTCCGGGCAAAACTCCGATTCCATCCTTCCATTCCATAATTTGGATCACAGAATCCATTTCCTTGATTCCGGTCACAGAATTGCAATCATTTTCAGATTCTTTGTTCTTGTTTTGCTGATCAGTGTTTGAATTGATGTTCGGGTTTATGGCCACCGATGTTAAGGCTGGAGGCGTTAGTGTTTGCGAGTTTGTCACTGCATTTGTTACAAAAGTACTGTTTTGAGCCAAAAGTGGAGGAGGAAGTGGTGACTGGGATTTGTCTTCGGTTTTAACAGCTGTCTCTTCTATCAAATATGTAATTAATTTATAAATAACTGTAATATTTAAACACAATTTGAAAACAATTCTCAATAAAAACGTTTTATTAACGAAAAGCTGTTTTGAATTTTTGTTATAACTTATAAGCTTTGAGAGGAAGTGATTTTGAAACCTATAAAGTGGTCCTTAACTCAAATCCTTGTAAACCCATAAATATTACTCTTTTATTGAACACAAGTGACTCAAATGAGAAGATAAATAACACATAGAAGTAATGATTGCATTGAAATGTATGACACAATCAATACAATCAATTGTTAGGATCTGATGAAATGGCATAAAATAATGGGAACAGTATTTTACAGGTAATAGAGGACTAGTTTAGTATAACCTTATGTTAATTCATTGAAGACATTATTTGAATTAAATAACTTTAAACATTTTTTACCTTTTGTTGTGTGACTGGAAGTGTTTGCGACAACGAATGGAACAGTGCTTTCTGAGAGAAGTTCACCCGAAGAGACAATTTTGGAAATAGTGGTCGGGATTAACGTGAGACCAGTGTTAGTGGATGTGAACGATTGGTTAGTGAGTCCTTTATTGATGGCCACCGATGCGGGCGCTATCAGTGTCTGGACATTCTTGGAGTGGGATATCGACGGCACCGAAATCGCTGTCGAAGAAGTGGTCGACGCCATCAACGGAAGTATCTTTAAGGGCGTAATAATCGGAGGTTTGGATTTCAAAGCCGCAGAACTGATAGAAACCGGGGTTACGGATGACTTGATGTTGACGTTTCCCTTTGCCACCAATGAAGACATGGGAACCGCTAACATGGATGTGCCGTCTGGAGAGGTAACTAACGCTA